AAAAAAAAAAAAAAAAATGGCTGATCGACCCTCCCCATCAAGCTACTCCGCTCTCTTCACTCCCCGAGTCTTTCAAAATTCAAAAGTTAAAAGGACATGTAACTGGAAAATTCAAACAAATTCCAGTAATTCCAGTAGGATAAAATCTCACTGCACTACAGACCTTTAGCAGAGCTGAGAGGCTTTGGCTTATGGCAGAGCTCAATACTTCTGCTAACTCTTCCGTCAGGATTAGGACAGCTTCTATGTCTACTAACTACTCCCTGCTGTATATTTCCCACAGGTTACTACGCGCTCTAAAATCTATTTTTCTTCCTCTTAGCAAACCACAAATGATGAGCCATGTTTTCCTCTTTTTTGCAATTTGGTGCCACTGGCCAGCAGCCGTCACTGACTGACTCGTAGTTCAGATTCTGGATAGGGTGGGTAGTTTTTTAGACTTAAAATTAGTCAGTTTTTTTTTTTTTTGTGAAACAGTCTAACTTGCATCATACTTATCTAAAATAAAAGGACTAGTTTCCAGTTTGGAGAAGCAGACGCAAGCAATACTCTGCTGTGGACAGGGGCAGCAGAAAAAAGTATTTGGGGACCTAAAAAAAAAAAAGGGAGTTAAAACTAAAGTGTTAAAACACCAAAGTCACATAACAAACTAACTGATCGAGGCAGCAGTAGATTAGCAACCTGCGTGTTCTGCGTGATAAAACTACTGTTTTTGTCGCAGCAGTCTGGTGGCTTTGAAGAGAGCATAGATGGATATAACTGCTTCAGTTTCACGTTGGAAAGGGCTGTCTGTAGAGCGAGAGAGGGGAAGACATGCGGAAAAGATCAGAGTCAAACCCATGGCTGCTGCAGCAAGGACTCCACCCTTGTACATGGGGGGCCAGCCCTCCCAGGTGAGCTACCAGGGCCTTTTTTTAGGTGGCTAAATTAAGTTTTGTTGCTGCTCTCTGTCCTCAACAGTGCATAGCTTAGCTTCTGTGCCGGTACTCCTGTCTGCTTCTTCAAACTGGGGAGTGCCCACTGCCAAGTAGCTTATACAACCCCACTTCCAAAATCCAAACTAACCCTTTCAGACTGGCCTAACACTACAGTCCAGCCAAAAACTGGTCCTGTAGACTGAAAACCATGAAAGCCACAGCCTACTGTACTCTTTGCTGAATTAAGGGAAGGCCTGCTTTCTCAAAGGGACGCTCACAGATTGTCCTAGATTCCACAGACAAATAGGTTAGCACGGATACGCATTGCTGTGCCTATAGTTAGACTCCTGTATGTGTCACATGATGTTAAGATTGCAGTCTGCATGAAGAAATCAAGGCAAAGACTCACCATGAGCACAGCATCGATTGAGTCCCTCTGTGCAATGGCCCACACCCCAACAGCTAAAACACCGAAGTTCCCCCAAGCGAAGGAGGGGGGCAGCCACGCCATGCATCCCCTAAAACAAACACACAGTTCATACAAGACAGAGTCACATCTTCAGAATTATGTTTGATTTCACAAGTACGGGACGTGGAGGTTCAAGAGTAGGCCTGAATCAAGACTGTGAGTCTGTGTGTGTGTGTGCCTGTGTGTGTCTTTGCCAGACGAGGAGAGAAATTCCTCAGGTTTGTGAAGAAAAAAAAAAAAAAACCTGTGCTCGAACTCACCATATTGTCAACAGCCAGTGCACCAGTACTATGGCCTATGATAGAGAAAAAAGACATGTTAAAAAGAAATACAGCATTGTAAGGGATCTTTTTAATACTTTTCACGTGGTTTGGGACAGTTCAGTCTACAGCAATTAGACAATAAACAGAAAATGAATCGCCAAAAATGTTGACAATCGATCAATTATTTATTAACTAAAACCTCCAAACATTCAGTGGCTTCAGCTTCTATGTAAACCGAACATAATTGGGGTTTGGAAGCTGGTTGGACAAATAAGGACATCTGACTGTCATGGACATATTCTATTTCTAACACTTCATAGACCACACAATTAATTTGAAGAAATAATGAATAATTTAATTAACACTTAAAATAACCATTAGTTGCAGCCCTACAGTAGTTTAATCTACGTGAGCTCACAAAGCCAAAAAGACCAGAACTAAATGTAAAACATGTGATCAATTCGCATCTGGCATCAAATGTGAAGCTTCATCCGGATGATTGATTTCATGGCTCCACACATTACTGGTTCTAACTTTTTGAACCCAAATTATGAATCAGAAAATTCCCCATTTTCCTGTGCTCCTTTAGCTACCTTACACATCTCCTTTAACATCACATGTTTCAAAGTTTCTGGGCTTTGAATAAGAGCTATTCAAACTGCTTTTGAACCATTTTAGCCTTTAAAAAACAGCACAAAGCCGTAATTCAATTAAATGCTTTTCCTTTTTAAAAAGGTTATGATCTGACACAAAGGCATCAGTTCACTTATGTATGTTTCTTACAGAAAAGTCATTGCCTTAGAAAAGACTAAAAAGAGATTGTTATTTGGTTCATGTGATATAGAACACATTTCTTTTCATATCCAGTTGATTTTTAAAGCTTTACATAAAGATATGTTCTTATTATCTCAAATAATGTTTGTGTTTCTAACATCCAAAACTCTGTCCATAGCAGCACATCACTTATAACATAACAATGTTTGATCTAAAATGCACTTTAACATGTTTGTTTTCGGTGGGGTGTATCTTAAAATAAATTTACAATTCTCTTCCACCACTAAACAATAAACACCAACATTTCACTTGTTACTGTGATCTGTGTCTCAAGCAGAGGCAGGTAGTTGCCACACAGAGGATTTACCAAAGAGAGTTTAGCAACAACATTATCACATCATTTAACACCAGTCTGTGTTAAACAGTTCAACGTTACAATCAGGTAAAAGGCAAACTCACCTTTAGATTTATGGCTGGGATTTCCATAACAGGCTGTTTGGTGAAGCAGCTCTACTACTTGTTGAAGGAGTTTACATGAAAGAATACCGCTGCTTTTCTCTTACACAAACTTCTCTCCAAAACTCCTCCTCCCCTTAGCTCAGCAGCCTGCAAACATAAACCATGTGACAGCAGCCTGATTGATTCCCATGTGACTGCCTCCCTCCTCTCTCCTCCCCCTCCTCCCCCTCCTGCTCTGCTTTGGCCTTCAGTTTTTCAAGAAGGAAGAAAAACCACATGAGCATCAACATTGGTCACAGTTTTTTTTATTTATTTCCAGCTTTCAGTGAGTGTGGTGTCCCTCCAGTGGTTCTCTATGAATGATCAGGAATGTAGCATGTCTGAACGCTAAACAAATGTAATCAAATACAACCGCCCAGTTTCTCAGTTAGGCTATTGGTAACAAAAAAATACACAATTTATATTAAAAAGCTGTTAAGATTCCTAATTGTGTATTTTATTGTTTTTACTTGTCAGTTGATCAAATTAACATGAAGTGCCACACGTCATATGTGCGCAGCAGTGTGAGGATTTGAAAAGGTTGTGCTGTGACTGGCGTTTTTATACAAGCACCAATATTTTAAATTAATTTGTTTCTACTTTCAGTACCTTTTAATCCATGCAGTCAATCATTATCAATAACCTTTAATGTTTGCCAGTTGGAAAGATATCTAAAACAATATGTAGACTCATTTGTAACATGAATAAAAATATTTAAAATTTGTTAACCAGATTAAAGGAAAATTAACCCTTAAAGGCTTCAAATGTAAATATTTAATTAAATTGAATTTGATCAAATATGCATTTGATGCACAGTATATGTTTAGCACAGTGACAGAGTTTACAGCCAGAAGCAGCTTTGTAGGGACAGCTGTGCTTTGAGTTAAATGCTAACATTAGCATGCTAACATTCTCACAATGACAATGCTAACATGTCTTGCATTGAATTCACTGAATATTTAACGTGTTAGAATGTTCAAATTAGCACTAAACATTAAGTGCAGCTGCATTTGTGGCGCAGAATCCAATAAAGTGCCCTCTATGGTGCCTTTCCAGTGGACAAAATGTGAGCCCTCTAGGGTGCTGATCCTAACCCTGACTAAGCTGTTTTACCATAAATGCATCACAGTTTTCAGCGCACTGGTGGCTTTTTGATTTTTTCCGCCGTTGCCCCTCAAACAACCCGAGTCTGCTGCTGGTGAGATATTTTTGCTTTGGTGTTCAGTCCTTGAGATGCAACATTTCCTCACAGTAGCCTCGACAGACATGAACTGTAGCCCCATAAATAATGAAGGTATCAGTATAAACTAGTAAAACTCCCTTCAACAAATGTGTGATATGAATTATTAAGGTAGCATTTTGTCCCCCTGCAACTTCTCCTTCAGGCTATCGTTGTAACCAAGAAAACTTTCTGACTTTGCCTTTCTGGACAATTCTGAAAATCAGGTTAGTTTATGTGAGGATTAGTAAAGACATACAGACTGATAGAGACTGACTCAGCTCACAGTTGATCAGATTAAATGTTGAAGTAACCATTGTCCCACTGATTCTCTGCAGTCATTTCTCTGCTTGTTTGTGGCCTTTGGAAATGTAGTTAGATATTTGCTCATTCATCCTTCAAACGCTGTCTTTCAGACAAAGAAACTGTATCTATTTTACAACTACTGCTCAGTTTACCGTAAAAATCACGATCCCCAGAGGATGACTTCTATTGATTTCTAGTGACACACTGCTCTGTCTTTTTGTCTTCTGTGCCACAGTCAAGTAAAATTCCCCTTTAAAACAAATACAAACACGTTCTTGTTTTACCTTTAACTGTCAGTATCCTCCAGTAAGGAAGAATTAATCTTGATTTATCTTGTTGTGGTCACTTGTTTCTTCTCTATGGAAGACTGCAGCTGCAGAATTTGTGATAGATATCACGTCCTAACAATTAGGCCCACAAGGGGCAAAATACATGAGCAGTCAGACGATCAGATAGAGCTCAGTAATTACTCAGTGAATACAATGGAAAACATTAATGATAGTAACAACAACCAAAACTAGGAAAATAAGATCCAGGTTGTAATAATGTAACACAGATTTATTTATTTACATTCATACATCTCATTTCAAGGCACATTCTAGTCCCACAGAACAGAACAGAGTGAGAAAATACTTCAATTTATTATAAATTCATTCATTTATCTCCTCAGAAGCACATATATTCCTCCATTTTCCTTTAATCTGTAACTCATATACTTGTCATCAATACCCACTGATCATACTCTCACCTGTTATTATTATAGGTCACTGAAGTTCTATCCTCAGGTCACATGATGGCACTTTTATATTACTACTACTACAAAATGTTCAATTGTTTCCCTTCTCCCCAAAATTCAGACTTTAGACAACTGAAATCCAGTTTTGTTTGTTAAAATCAAAGTAATGGAAATATCTTCCAAACAATTTTCCTTCTGGATTACAAAAATGAATCCAAGGATGTAAGTGGATTATTGGATTTCAAATCAGTAAAAAGGACAACTAAAGTAATGTTTTTAGAGGGGCTAATTCTTAAAAGTTTCCTTAGTTTTCCTTAGCTATTCCTTAGGAATAGTTACACTAGTAGTTACTGGGGAAGTAGTATTATTACTAGTAATGATTTACTGCGCAACACTGCTCATACAGACCTTGAGATGTGTTCAAAAGCTCCGGGAAAGAGTAAGTAACTTTGAGTTATTTCATAAATCAAGAATAAAGTTGTTTAAAGTTGCTCCTTGTTCATGTGTCCATAAATAATGTATATTACAGATAGAACATGATCTACTTTTCACTTGTGTCTCTTTATGTCTTACTTTTCTAAATTCACAAAGTCATGAAATATTTTGTCACTTCTGGGTTCTGTGACTGACATTTTGCTGCCATTTGCTTTCCTCGCTTGTCTGAAAGGATGTCAGGATCTGGATTTAAGCACATTTAGCCCATGAACTCTAAGTCAGTGTGAACGAGGGCAGCAAGTCTTTAAAATGCTAATGTTAAACGCCTTCTTGGTGATTTTCTTCCTTCAAGTCTGACTCATTACTTCGTGCTTCTGTCCTCTTAAATCTTAAAGGAGATGATCCATTGTATGCGCCAAGCATGGCAGATGGACCCCGTGCTCCCATATCCAGTGTGACCCCTGACATCCTGGTGACCTCTGACCCCTGTGATAGCACATGAAACAAGATTTATGCTTTCAGACTCTGCAGAGACAAATTTTGCAGTTCTAATGTGTTACGTTTGTTAAAATGAGATTGCAGTCTGACAAATGTGCGACATGTTATTTAATTTGAGGGGTAATGTCTTTAACCCTCAGAGGAAAAACCATTCTTGGAGCAACTAATGTTATTGCAAATAAAGGATTGATTTTACATCCTAACCTGCTGTGACTGACTTGACAAGTGAATGACATAAATGTGACGCCAGAGCACAGATTGTGTTAAATGATCCATAATTCATTCCTATATATATTTTTATCTATTTTCAGTACTTCTCATCAAATTTTTATGGTGTGTTTTATTGTCTGTGAAGCAGTTTATAGAGACTGCAGTATTTCCTGCAGCTTTGGTTACTCATATATACACTACTCTCATACCTGTGTCCTTTTGAGAAACCCCTCAATCTTAAAGAAGTTAAGATAGCAACTTCGGTAATTAATGACTTCAAGAAAGCCTTAAGAAAGAAGTGCCCTTGTGTTGGTGACGTGACGCTGCACCTCTGCCGGGTTGTGGCTGTGTGTAATCTATCACTTGGCTGGCTGTTGGCCAGGTTTCAACAGGGCACTCCACCAGAGCACTCTGTCAGAGGTAAGTATTAAAAATACATCACTACTGCTTTTATTCTGCGGCTGTAAATCAGGGTGGCACAATCACAGTCTGAACTGAGCTGGTGGTTAGGAAAGAAAAATGAGTCTTACTTTCTTCATCTAATCAAATATTGATAAGGATAGATTTTCAGAGGCCTTGTGTGAATGTTATTGCTTGTACTTGCTCTAATGTGTCGTAAGCTTTGCATTAAAAGGTTCTGACACAGTTCAGGGTAGTTTGGAGATAATGAGCTTCAAAGATCGCAGCGTTTATTTAATCCCATGGAGATAGATGACGCCTTACTACTGACTCAAAAATACAAATTTTCAAGAAAAGATTACGTGTTTGAAATTGGTTTATAAGACAAAATGTCCAGATTTTTATTCTCCTGAAGTATCTTGAAAAAACTTCTCTTTTTCTCAAAACAAAATGTTTAGAAAACAAAGGAAGGAAACAAGACATTAAACCTCCACATGCTCTGATCCAGTGGTAGAAAGTAACTGATTACTCCAGTGCCGTACTAAAGTACAGTTTTGAGGCAATTGTACTTGAGTTTTTCTATTTTATGTTACTTTAAACTTTGACTCCATTACAGTTCAGAGGGAAACAGAGTTCTCTTACTCCCCATTATTTGACAACTACAGTTACTTTTCAAATTAAAACTTTACATGTAAAAAAACCTCATATGATACTTTTAAAAATACAATGTGCTGATTCCTTACGATAAGTACAAAAAATGCTGCTTTTACATTGATGAATCAGTATTAAGAATCTTATAAAGTATCACAATAATATATAAATGATGGGGGCATTTTCCTGCAGAAGTAGTACTTTTACTTTTGATATTTTAGGTACATTTTGCTTATAATATTTCTGTACTTTAAAGCAGGCGTTCAGAACTTTCATTTTCTTGTTCATTCTGGCAGCCCCTGTGGACAAAAGCGGTAGTGTTTCCACCGCCTCGCTTCATTGATTTCAAGGGGAATCTGATCGAATCCCATACTGCTTATAGCTAATAAAGGCAATAAATAATAACAATAGTAACTATAGAAATAACCAATCTTCTTGCAGATCTTGTATGTTTATGTAGGTTGTATAGAACCATCAGTATGAAATTGACATTGTTTATAACCAGTAAAGAACTCCTTGTAATAGGTTTAACAAAAGCAGTATTTTGAATTTTACTTGTAATGCAGTATTTTCACATCATTGTATTGGTACTCAAACAAGACAGAAAGACACAGTGAGAAATTAACTTTTTTTTAGCAAATCTTGCAAAAGATTTGTTCAAGCCAAAATCACAGCGGAGACAATATCCTAGTAAGTTGTTTAATCATGAAAACAAAAAAGACAGAAAAACACAATATATAGACAAACATGTGTTTAAGTACAGTATAAATAAAACATATATTAATACATGTAAAAGGAAGGTCAAACAAGCATCTTTGTTTATCATTCTACTGTTAAGTACATTTGAAGTGGTGTCAATTTAACAAAAAGTTGTTGGCAATTCAAACACATTCATATTTACAATACAGGAGAGCAGACTGGGTTCAAATAGCATTTACAAATAATTTTTAGAAATAAAAAGTAGCAGAGAACTCCTACAGAAACCATTTCAAACTTATTTTAGTTCAATTTCTGTGAGTGATGGTTTACTCAGTTTGAATGATCCTAAAGCCGTGAACGCCTCCCATTTGAGAAACAGTAACTCAGAACTAAAAATGATTTGTAAACATAGTTTGACTCAGATCAGCAGGGCAGAGACAATCAGATGCAGGAAAGACTGTGAGAGAGATTTAAAAAGGGGTTTTCCAAAACTCACAAAATGTGTTTTTGCTCAAAATTGAACCAAACCAACAGCAAACACAGTGGTGTGAGCACATAAAAAATGATATGTCTACAGATTTCACTCAGCGATGTGTTTACAGGCAAGTGAATATTTAATACCAACTTAAAACAAATAAAAAACACACTCTCTAAAAAAAATGGGTCATTGTGGATTGAGTGAGTTTTGAAAAAAGCCCCTCTTCATGTTTTCTTTTAACAAACATGTACAATCCTGTAGCGATGCTGGAGTGACCAAAACTGAATTAGGACTGATGTATGGATTTAAACTGAACTAAATAAGTGCTTAAAGATGGTGACTTGCTGGATTAGAAGGTGTGGCTCATCCCACAATGCAACATTCAAACAAGGTTAGTCACCTGATATTTTGCTGACCAGATGGTGGCATTCAGACGCTTTACATTGTCGGATCAATTTGAAAAACCAGCAAGCCGTCACCTTTCAGCACATGGTCTGTTAGAAGTGTCATGTGATGTCTTGACTGTACTATCTACTCTGTCATGGGGTCATGTTTTCCTGTTCCTCCTCCTCCAAGTGTATCTCCTTGTCCTCCACCTCCTGCTCCTCCTCAGATAGTGATGAAGCCTCCTTGGTCGCTGCTGACCGACTCTGGTACCACACAGCGACCCCTCCTCCTGGTCACACGCCGCTTCCGGTGGAATTTAGCATAACAACGAAACCCTGGAAGGTCATAAAAAGCCTGTTATCTGAATTGCTTGAATAGATTTGGATGAGCTGTGAGATAAAGAAAGTTAAGGTGAATAAATAAGATGAACTGCCAGTGTTATATTAGGCTCACACTATCACTTTTATTTGAATTGATACTGACCCTGGAGTGATGTCTGCCACTAGAGCACAAAAAGTCAGTCAACGACTTTTAAAATCTTAATTATAAACAGGGAGGCTTGGGGAAACGGCTCAAATACACAACTGCACATAAAAAGACAAGCTGCTGCTATAAACTCATTATCGTCATATTTGTATGGTAAATATAAAACTAGAGCTGGTTAGCTTAGCTTAGCACAAAGACTGAAAACAGAAGTTCACTAATTAAGACATTATCTCATTTGTTTAATCTGTTAAAAAAACTAACTGTAAAACCTACAATTCTCTGATTTCTGGTGTGTTAGTGTTATGTCGATTCATATCAATCTAATCATTTAACTCTCAAAGTGAATAAACCTGTTTCCCAAAATGTTAAACCATCCCTTTAAGCAGTGACACGTGTTATGTGATACACCACACTGCAGCACTGTCACAACTCCAGCCAACTCCTGGTCACACAATCTCTGGTCTGCCCCTCCCTGCCACGTATTAACTCTCCTGTAATTTCAGATCCAGCCTGTATTATCCCTTCTTCTCACAATTCCCCATCACCTGACCTCCCCTGCCTACCTGCACACCTGGTCCCACTTTTCCTCATCATCCCTAGAGCGTATATACCAGCCATTTCCATTTATTTCTTGCCAGGTTGGCTATTGCGTTTCTGCCTTCGCTTTTAAGCATTCTGTTTTGCCTGCAGGAAGTCTTTTGGATGAGTTAGTCTGTTTTCATTTCCCTGGTTGGTTTTGACTTTGGCCTGTTTTTTGACCACAAGTAAACACAAACTTTTACCCATCCTGCTTGTCTTAAAGTCTCAAATTTTTGCACTCAAGTCCCAAATCAAGACAGGCAAGCCCTGTCGGTTCTTCTTTTTCGAATAACTTTTTAATCTTTGGAGTATTTTTTTTTTTTGAGTATTTTGAAGTCAAAAGGCTCAAGTCCAAGTTAACCCATGAGTCATTAGCGATAAAGTCCAAGTCAAGTTTCAAGTCTTTTTTTTTTAAAATTTGTCAAGTCTAAAGTCATTAAATTTGTCCACACCTCTGCTGAGTCGTACATCTGGGTTCAAACCTCTTCCTCTTCTGAGCCATTACATGCACAGTTTAAGCATGTTCTCCTCACTCACCTTCCTCACACATGCAGTCATCGTAGCATTTGTTGTTGAGGCCTCGGTTGTGAGGTTTACACTCATGTTGTCTCAAGTCACAACAAGAACCTTTAACAGAACAAGCACATTAAAAGAGAAAACGACTTAAAGTTGTATAAGAAATTATTTCTACAAGAAATTGCATGCTGATTATCACCTTAAAGGCCCTGAAAACGTATTTTCTCAATCAGTGTCTTACTATGAGTGATGAGGTTGAGTATGAGCTCGACATGTTCTGCCAAAGTTGGAGCAGTTTTAGTTATTTCGCTTCAAGTATTTCTGTATTTGTGTTTTTGCCTGTGCTTTTCCGAGTGATTTAAAGTATGCAGGGCTAAACAAGTGTCCAAGGCCTTTCAATCACAAAGAGGGCTACAAACCCAAAGGACAATATGCACTGTTGCAATTAAATTCTAAAAGTAGTCTGTCGAAAAAAAGATATAGAGAGATATTTTGTATTTTGGAGCATCACAGAGTTGTTTTTTGGTCCAGAGTGACATGTTTAATGTAGACTGACCTGGGAGACAGTCCAGGTGGTGGTCACACGGCTCGATGGCATCAGCGTCTACAGTCACATTTCCGTTGCTGAGGTTCTTACTCCGCCTCTTGTCTGCAGCAGGAAAAATAAACACTGTTCGATCCTAAAGACACCCGATCAATGCAGCCTCAACCAAACAGATCGATTGATTTGTCACTACAAAGCAACAATTTAATGTCAGTTTTTTTCTGGTGAAGCCATTTATATCTGTACATTCCGCCACAGTCCAACACAACACAGGCTTGATATGGGTTTAGTGTTAATCCCCCAAAAGGTGCACACACAGTGCATTAAGGAATTTATTGCTTCAATTGACAACATTTACCTTCAACACTGATTGGACAGCCACATAAAACATGGAAAAGTTTCCCTTGTTGTTTAAATGTTTAAAGGTGCTGCATACGACTTTCAGAACCATTAGATGTTGCACTAGAGCACCAGCATCTCAGACCAAAACAAATTAGCGATATGGCACACCAGACTCCACTGACAAAAGCAGTCATTGTACATAAAGCAAACGTTATTTAAACTGGACAGAAGCAAAATAAAACACATTGAAACCTCTTTGTTAAGTCTTTCTGCTGTTCCAAAAAACTGCAGTTTAGTCAAAATAAATGCTCAGTTCATTCATTAAATGTTCTGGATCTAATCATTGGGTACAAATACGTTTGGCAAAGTACGTCCAAAAGTGCTTGTTTTTGCCATTGACAGTTATTGTTGTTACTGTGTCTGACAAAATTAAGCAGTACGATTCCCTTTTTGTTTAAGCAGAAACAGCCAGTAAAGCGCTATCATGCTTAACTAAGATGGTGAACATGTCAAACGCTATACCTGGCACACATAAACACACTAGCATTGTTATTGTTAGCATGCTGATGCATTTTTCTCAAAGCACCAAAGCGTCCTCAGCTTCACAGAGTCAGAGTCTTGTCAATTAAAGGTGGGGTAAGTTATTCTAGAGAAATCCAATAACATGACATATACTTTGTAGGTATTCTCATAAGTCTCCTGTTACGATAACTAACAACTAGTGGGCATAGTGGGAGGTAAACCAAAATAAACTCACCTCTTGGAAGAGTTTGGTCATCTATTTTCAGATCAACTGTATCAAATAGTGAGCGGGGAAAGTGTTTTGATAGGGATTATGTGCGCCAAACCTGTTTTCAGATCACAACCTTTTTCAACCCCACATTCAGCAGATTACGAACCTTTCTTCCTGGAAGACGGCCAGGTATCCACAGGTTTCATGTCCTCGTAGTCTGTCCAATCAAAGAGCGCCATGTCCAACGTTGGCATCACCTCTCCTTGTCCTTTACCTCTTCCAGACCTCTGAAAAAAGAAACATAGAAGTGGTCTTGAAGTGACACATGACATTTTATGATTGACTCTACATTTCAGTGGGAACATTTGCATACCGGCTTAACTCATGTTCTATCGAAGAAATCTACACAGCTCAAACATGCTTATATGCAGATCACGTAATCCCAGCTACAATTAATCTGTTCTGCTGCCATGGTAATATTTGAAGCACCTTCCTTATATATGTATTCAAATACAAAAATAATTGTGTATTTAAAAGTAATCCTAAATGTGACACAATCCAGCATATGAGCTGCTGCAGAGAATACATTGGAGAGATCAATTCTGTCCCCTCAGATGAATGTCAGTTAGTGCAATTACACCCCAACAGCAGTAGATGACTGTGGTTTGATTTGTTGAGTGTGTTTTCTATCAGTAATGGAGGTAAACACATTGGACTGGTGTTGTGATGAGTAGCAGTGCGAGCTGCTTCATTGATTCATAAAATGCCCTCACAGAGTCAACAAAGATAGCAGCAGAGCTTTAAAAACCAATCGATTGGTTACAGAGAACATGACTGCTCAGTCTGGAATACAAATATATACCACAGCATTTGTATTGTCAATACATATACAATACATGTGGATTGAAACATACAGTTCATTACACACATCCAAAGACTTTATTTCTCAGCAGGCAACTAAATGCAGCCTGTGAGTCCTGTGTGGTTATTTTATTATTCCTGTAATGTGTGTGTGATTTTACATTATGTTTAAGTCAAGTAAACCACTACTTTTGGTAAAAGCTTGTTAAGGAGAAGTTGTTTTAAAAGTAATTTCTCCTTTACTCTCTAAGAGTATTTTTATATTATGAATTTATTCAGTACAGCATCAGACCAAAACGTCCTCCTACCTGAGCAACAACAAGGCTGTTTGCCTTCCAAAATGACCCATATGACTGTTACAAAAACAACTCATACAGTTTGTGCTTGGTTCAGGCAACTAAAAGAGCTAGATGAAGGTTAATGAAAGATCTAATGAAAGACTGTTGGTAGGATATAGGATGCAAATTGCTGTCTCTGATGTTAACGTCGGTGTACTTTTCTGCAGAGCCATACAATGTGAACAAAATAAAACCAAAGCTTTATTCTAAGAAATATAAAGCTAATGAAAACATTTGCATTCACCTTCAATTCAGGAAACCTTGGCCAAATTGTCAGCACACCAGATATTAAATCCAAAAATGGTAGATTGTCAAAACATTAGCCGAGTACATTCATGCTCCCAAAGAGAGAGAGAGACTCTTGCACTACTCTCAGGACAATTTTTGGCTCTTTCCCCAGCAGTAATAAGAGTAGAGTAAGAGTAATAAGCAGTAATAAAATAAGCCATAAGAATAGCCAAACCATCAGCACAGGACAGCTTTCATGCTGTGGGGCAAATTGAACGGTGCAGTCTGAGGCTGCTATTTTGAGCTTTAGATTTTAAGTCATTACAAACATATTGCACAGTGATTGCAATAATTTAAAGCTTACTGGCTACTCCAAACCCTTACCTCCAGTAAATGAAATGACTCAGTTTCATTTTGTAGCAGTCACACTTGCTGTATATTTACATATTTTTTTCATGTCTGTGTTTCAAGACAGTTTTCAAAGTAGGGATAAAGAAACAAAAAGATAATGAACAGTTTACATTTCTGATTGCTCCCCGAAGAGTTAAAGTCAGCGGTTGGATACCTTTGAGTCAATCTATAAATTCATGAGTGTCATGAATTCAAATATTCTACCTCAGTAAAATATCATTATTCAGATAAGTGTGTAATGACAAAACTCCCTGGTGGATTGTTCAGCCATAACTTTCTGCAATAAAAGCCATAAAAATGTTACCACTGTCATTTTCCTCATACGGAGGAAACAAAACAGAAATGTTAGATAATATAATTAAGTCAGCGGGACTTTGAAATGTCTCTTGAGGAATATTTGGTCCCTGAAAGACATCCATCAAAAACTAAGAATCAACCTCTTCATGGAAACAGATCCATACTTGTTTCCTTTCACCCTCTGCAAATGAGCCTATATGGAAATATCAATTAGATTAATTGCAGGGGGATACCTACTTCTGCTGCTCATTAAACCATCAACAGAAGATCGAACATTAATTAAGAAGCCTTGGCGCATGCATGTGCCACTGAACTAAGGTTCAGGAAAAGCTATCACTTTTTTCTTCTTTGGTCCAGTAATATCTGACTGCTCTAATAGCAATGACTGAGACATCTTGTAAACAGAATACCAAGCAAACTGACAATCCAGTCTGCGGACATTTAACATAGACACTGACCAGAGCCACGACGACTTCTTTTAAAACCTCACATGTCACTCTTGCAATAAATGTTTTTTTCTGAATGGAAGAGCAGAAAACATCAGAAAACACTCATGAGGGTTGTTTTGGAAGGCATCAACAAAGTAACTATTTTGTTCGTTGAAGGGCTTGTTGATTGCTACCACAAGTCTAATCAGTGTTACTGGATAAACACGGAGGGGCCCCATATACTTTATGTTGGAACAAAAATGCTTTTGTGGCTATGGTTTTGAACCTCCTTTGTAAGAAATCAGCCAAACTACAAATCAATAAGACTTGCTGAAAATGAGAAGGAATCAAGCATCTGGCCAGAGACCACAGATTTCTAGACTAACTATGGCTCATTTAAAGTGATTGTATATTCTGTTAATCAGTGAGAATCGTCCCTGTTAAATAAACTAATTAAATGAAAGCAAAAACACCTAGTATGTCTGTCAAAGTTCATCTCAAGTCACATTGTACAATGTCTACGGACTACAAGTTTAGTCAAAATCACTCAACTAGAGTTTTGATTGAAGACATTCGTTGTTCATCTGAAGCTTTTTCAATTTAAACTGTTGTCAGAATGCCAAAGGCAAAGATTTCCCGCTTCAGTATTTAGCGCCAAACATTTGTCCCCCCCAAAAAAACTTGAAAGTAGCAGAGGACTTTTATTTTTACAGTTTGCCTGAGAGCATTACTGCATTATATTCTATTATATTTTGAATTGTCACCTGACATTTCCACTATAAATTGATGCAGAAAAGGCAGAAATGTGCATACAAATTCCCCACATCCCCCACTTAATGTGTGCCCCAAAACTGCACTCCAGTGATTTGTTTTAACTTCCTCCAGACAAATTGTGCAGTCGTTCATATTATTTTATTGTGGTTAAACATCTTAATTTAAATATAACCTATTAGATTCTTCAAAAAGATCCAGCAACGTCTTTATTGTGTTGTCTTGAACCGCACACCTCAACAAAACAACTGTCAATCAAATAGCGGCGGTGATCCTGTAACTAAGGCACAAACGCCCTACAAGCTGTTGGGTGTTTGTAACAGCAGCTGTTACAAATGTAAAAGCTTTCACAAAGTGGGCACTGGCTCAATATCTATTGACATCAGGTACCATCTTGTCTTACAGAGTCTCATTTGTAACGGTTCCTGGACTAAAGGAAGCTGGGGAAAACACATGTGATGTTTTTTTCCTTTAAAGATGTTGTTTATGCATACTGTTGGAAGCGTCATGCTGGATGAATGTGACAGGTGGTGAGTGGTGCCCCACGCACTCCTGCAGATTTCTCAGTACCCACAGTCGGACACAATAAAGACTCTCCGTGCTCACATACATTTTGTTCTGCCACGCTTTCTAATAAAGGAACAGGAAAGTAGTTATAGAAAATGTGCTGCTGGAGTCTGAGCTGTGTGATTTTGATCCCAGAGGCGTAGTTTTATTATACAGAACACGGTCATATTCATCATATACACTGTGACCGAGAGCCAGTGAGTTTGTCCTGCTGGAGGATATTTTTCATAAGCAGCACTTTCAGGTTCACACTGTAGAGAGTGTCATTTCCAAGATGAGCTATGAGGTTTGCGGCAGCATAACGGCAGTAATGGGGCCCATTTTCGCTCTATTTCCCCTGCACACTAGGATCACACTGAGGCACAACAGACGTAGCCTTTAATAAGCACTTGGGTTTCGTTGGGGTTACCTGGGGTTTGGTGGAGGCCGGGGGCAGCGTTGGGGGATGCTCGTTCATCACCGTGGTAACCATGGAGGAGCCGGAGCCAAAGACGGCGGCAATGGGGGAGGGGGGTTCACTGGGCGGGGTCATGCTGAGGGAGGGGGAGGCGGCGGAGGAGGAGAAGGGAGGATCCTCGAACAGATCTCGGTCCTTAAACGCAGAGCTCAGCTCAGGCTCAGGAAGAAACCCTGGACGGACAGGATGGGCAGAAAGAGAAATTATTATACTGTATTGTGTACTGTCAATGTGTTATGAATACAGAATTTAACATTTTCTAACAAATGTGGAACCAGTTAACCAGTTGGCTTTAATTTTTTGTTCAAAATAATTCAAAATAATAATAATTTAACAAAACCTTAATAAAGAGATACTAAGTGGGAAGGTTATGTCCTGGGAACTCACCACAAGCTTCATTTAGTAGCTGATGTGGAGCTTTGGATTGTATCAAATGATCTTCCTCGGCTGGCTTTTACCAGGTTGTCATATGTTTACATTTCTGAGCAGTTTCAGGACTTCTGGCTTAAAAGATGATAATGTAAATCTAAAAGTCCATGGCAACCGGGCAGACTTCACATGCTGAGGAAGATTGTGTGATGTGATTCAAAGCTAAATGGACCTTGGTGAGATTGTTGTGTCAGCTACTCTTTCCACGGTCAAGAATGAGCTTTCAGTCGAAGATTTTGGTTCCATCTTTCATGGTTTTCTCTGACATTTCTGCCACCACTTCAGTAAAGTGGAGGAGTGGAAAGAATTTTTTTTGTGGTGCTCAAAGCATTGAACATTTGAAAAATTCAACAACAATAAGAACATCTTTTTCCAGAAACAAGACCTTGGTTACTCTGAATAATCCACAGACCTCGCTGTTAACGGTTTTCATTGGGACGTATTCTCTAGAAACTGCAATTAAAGCTCTTCACAGTGATGCCGGTGAATTATCTGGACTCACCATGTAGGATATTGTCTAAAGATGTTGCTAATAATCTTTTAAAATGAAATTTTATCAACGAGAGTACCATCAGATCTGTTTTATTCAAGTGTCCCAGTAAATCATGACTGTATGACAGTGAACCAGCATGCACAATCAAAGCAGCTTTTCCTATTATTGTTAAAATGTCCTCTGTGAAAAGGACCTATAGCTCCTTGTTGGTTGCCAACACTAGAAAACACTGCAGTTGTAGATCATTTGTTAGAAAGAGGATCTATGTTTTGTATCTGGATCAGTTTACTCACCTTTTCCATGCCGCCCCTTGTCACGCCGACTCCCTTGTCTCCTGTGTTCTAAATGGTGCCCATGCCCATTCCCGTGTCCATGCCCCCTTCCTTTGCGTGTCCCCAGAAGGTCGTTTTCCCGGGCCTGGGATGGACTCTTCATACTCATTCGAACTCTGTCTCTGTCCCTGCCCGGGCCCATCTCTAGTCTCACCGGGCTCAAACTCTCCAGGCCTGTCCCATCATCCTCAGGCCTGGCGAGGGGGTGCAGGGGCCTGTGGGAGAGCAGCCCGGCTCCACCCTTGGCAGCGCGGGGCCCCTGGCCCCCGTGCCCCACACGGTCCCTGCTGTAACGGTGGCCCTGTAGACCTTGCAGAGGGTGCTGTAGGTTGTTGCTGCCACCTGCTGAGGTCTGTGCCTGTCTCCTCTTGCCATGAGGGGCTCCGGGCTCGGCGCTGTGTGACAGTACCAGGGTGGCGAACAACAACGCCAGCAGAAGACTCCAGGAGAGAGCCATTGTCTGTAAAGCACAACGCCACCTGCTGGGAAGAGAGAAAACATTTCAATACTGCACACAACCCGAGCTATTTAGATTCAAACCACTGACGCTGAAACCTTACACAGATTTAAGTGGCACTTGATTGTTTGATTGTTTATAGAAGAATGTAGATGGAAGCTACTTTCTTTACAATTCATGGAGAAAAACCTTCAGGTGAGAGCACCTAAAGGTTTTCTTCCTACCTTCTTTAAGAGAGCTTAAAGAATTTGTTTAATTAAAATGTAAGTGTTTTTTTGTTTTTTGAGTATCAAATATTCACTGACTGTCCTTCAGTATTATCCACTTCTTTGTCATTGAGACATTAAATTCGTATGTTCTGCACACTCAAAGTTTCTCTACAACAACACCAAACACCCTATATATATACTGTATATATCGTACAGAACATATTTTGCGATTTATTTGGTGAAGCAACAATTGTTTGGGACAAAACCTGAAAAAGCAGTGCATTGGTAGACTTTGAGGAGTTTGAGTTTTCATATGTTATGACATGCATGTCAATCTTGTTGTGACTCTGGGTTGGAATCCATTGTATCTGTTAGCTTTTGAATCCAAGCTCGATGCTATCCTGTGCAAAGGAGCATCAAGCAAGCTACAAACTTTTGGAGTCTTTTGTAGGTTTGACTCTCAAAAAAAATATTCAGTCAGTGCAGTATTCCTTTTCAACTTCCCTCCATTTCTAATTTGTAAAGAATAACATTACATCTAATGGATGCAGTGGGTTGATGTCTATGGACTCCACTGTCTGCTATTTTTAGCCATGCTAGCAGCTCTAGGGGTGGCAATGCCCGTCTGTCGATAGCTCTACCAGTTTGAGTCCAGACTGAAAAATTAAAAAAACGATTTAATCTTTTTATCTAGCACCATCTAGAAATGAGGTTGACATTTGTAGTTTTGTGTTAAGTTTCTCAAGTGGATGAATTGTAATCAGTTTGGTGACTCCTGCACCATCATTAGGTCAGACTTTTAATTTGTCCAATACTTAGATTTATGAGCAAATACCTACAAAACTAACATCAGCCTCAGCTTGTGTTTAAGTGCAAATGTTAGCATACTCACTAAAGATGATGAACATATTAAACATTACCTGCTAAACATCAGCATGTTAGCGTGGTCATTGAGTGCATCTGCATGCATGTATGTGCACGGCTGCAGATGTTTTTTGTACAGTATGTATGTAGTCTTTTAGCAATACAGTAGCTTTTTCCACTACATTTTTAGATACAGTATTTTTACCTATGTACATACAGCAAACCTCAAGCATTATTTAATATCCTGTGTAAACAAATTCAGACAAAACATTTTGTTCTGCAGTCACATACATCAGCTTAACCTCCTCAAAAAAGCATCGCCAAAATTTGACCGTCAGGCATTCAGTGCAGAAGCCTTTATCTGAAACCACGAGTCCTCGAGTATTGTGATGTGTCTGTTGACCTGCTGTCTTCATTCTTCCATCACCTATCCTACAATTTCAGACTACATCACTCTTAGCCTCTTGAGTGGGCCCATTTATCTGGACTTGCTGGGTTTGAGGAGGCAATAAAGAGATGGACAGACACTTGTGCTTCTTTTTAGAAATGACTTCCCAGCTTCCATTCCTGTACCTTCATGCCTCAATATGAGATACTGCACTGCGCACATGCTTCATCACTGCCTATTCAGTGGTCTCGAGAGCCTTCCAACCGTACCTTTCATTACACAAGTCAACATATCTGTGAGGTGTGACTGAACTAAAATATGAGGGGCTGTGCCTCTGCATTAAAGGCCCTGGAGTGAAGGCATATTTCTTTTTTTTTTCCTATCTTAAAGTTCCAAGCTATTTTAGAGTCGGGCTGAATTTAAATTGTGATTTAATATCATTAAAGGTTTATTTGCAATTATAATGGCATTGAGTTGTACATGCATATGGTGCAATTATAGCATAAGGAAGGCACAAAAAAAGATTATGTCCTAGGAGATATAGCTATGATTTGAAATATCAGTACATTTACAATTTGAGAGTATTTTAATATGTTATTTATAATATAGAAATGTCTGCAACTTTCAAATTCCTTCAAATTGATGTTTGATTCAATGACCTCATTCAACTCTTCACATCTTAAAAACTTAAATGGCTAATTTTATTGGTTTCTTTAGTCAAATTGGCTTGAAATCATTTAGATTTGGAAATCCTGTATGATTTCCAAATCTAAATGATTTTTAGATCAAACAAATTCTGGTTGACAAGTGGTATACCAAAAAGGCAGAAATAGTAAGAAAACAAAGCAAACATAAAAACTTAACTTATAAACCATACCATGACGATCATATAGCTACAACACTATTCCACTAAAACTCTCATATATTTGATATTTAATTATGGAAGTGCCCACTTTTCTGTCATTCATAACACTATAGATGAGGGAACACCATCTTCTCAGTTTAGAAACTGTCATGTCATGTAAGATGATGTTGTTTTCAAATATGATACGGTTTGTTCTGTTGTCCACTTTAAAACGCTGAGACAATCCATCGACAAAGGCACACACAATGCCATTATGGTGCTGTGGCAGGCGACTCCTTTGTGTTAAAAGACAAACGGCGGTGCAGGGCATGCAGAAAATCAATGAGGGAGAAGTATTGAGCTGCTGGTGATGATGTGTGCATGTGTTGTGCGTGCATCGCTGAGGTGGAGTTAGAGGGGTTGATAAGATCTCTGCTCTTTTATCACATTGACACACACCAAGTTTAAACACACACCCTTGGGTTTTACAGTGGGTTATTTAGTTGTTTCTAAAAACAGGACAGAGGCGGCAGGTTGTGTGTGTGTGTGTGTGTGTGTGTCGGGCAGAGAGGATGCTGGTGATGTCAGGGGAAATTTGCAGTGCGAGTACAGGCAGCACCCTGAGGGATTTAAAGGCAGACTGCGTCGGCTGGCCTCTGGGAGTTCGACCAGCTGTGCAGTTTGCAAACAAGAGTGTGAGGCTGGCTGCTGAGGTGAGACCTTTATCTCCAAACAGGCCATCAGAGTGTCGGGGGGAGGGCAATCGGTCGTGTCACGCACAAAGTGTTTAGCCAGGATTACGCTCTGTCTGTTTGACACATGAGGTGCTGCTCCTGTCGAGTGGCCTGGACCCTGTACGGCCAAAAGGGTAATTTAATACGAAAACAAAGAAAACATCCAAACTGAACTGTGGGGTGGAGCAGTTATAGGATTGTCTAAGGGATTACATCACATTATATAAATCTATTAAAGGAGTAGTTTGACATTTTGGGAAATATGCTTATTTGCCTCTTTGCTGAGAGTTAGATGAGAAGACTGATGCTCTTAATAGTTATATATATATATATATATATATATATATATATATGAGATTGAACATAACATTAGTATAGCAGTAAACAAATATGTGCTATGTAAAGATACTGTATAGTGGAGTCATGGTGTCCTGGGCAAGGAATGACGTCACTTCCCTGTCCTGTCCATGTTTATTTCAACCAAATCAGACCTGGTGATTGCTGTTGGGACAGTGGAAAGACTAACAAGACAAAACAATGAGGTTTTGATTTTTGTTTCTGTCCAGTTTGCTGGGTAAAATGATGTTTTGTCAATGGAGTCTGGTCAGCTATAGTGGTCATTATTTTAGCTGAGATGTTGGTGCTCTAATGTGAGTCTGAAGTCTGTTCAGTAAATATGACGCTGAAGCCAGAAGCTATTGTTAGCTTAGCTTAGCAGAACAAATGGAAACAGGGGGAAAGAGCTATAGTCTGGGTGTGTCCAAAGACAATCCACCTACCAGCACCACTAAAGCTCAGTTAAGTGTAAAAGCTGTGGTTTTACAAGGGTTTGCCTAAGGCACCAGTATACGCAATCAGAACTGTTTGTTAAACAGCTTTGTCAACCTCCTCCACACACGTTTTTCTTTTCAGAATTGTACATTCAAACCCACTTCATGTAGCGATTGGTCAGGTCCATGGAGGTGAGGAAGTTGGTGTTTCAACTTCTCTCTTAGCTCTCTTTTTTAATTTGTTACACAATTATTTGTGGCTTTTTATGTGAACTACCTGAGTATGAATACCTTCAAGGAGAGACTGTCTGAAAATGTGCACTGTTATCCCCATATTTAAACATTTTTTATTGCAATACAATGTTATTGTATTGCATCTGTCTCTTTGGGGGAGTTATAAACACTTTTTCCTACCAACATGGACTAACAATTCAAATGAATTGGTCATTTTCTAGCATAACCTGTCCCTTACTGCTTCTAGCCAAGAAAAAGTCCCTCACATAACCCCCAATAAAACCACAATGTGTCATTTTTATAGTTAGTAAAAAGGCATCAGTGAGCTTTAAAGGTGCTGAGAAGCAATTTTTCTTACCTTTGGATAGAGCCAGACTTGCTGTTTCCCGGTTTCCAGTCTTTGTGCTACGCCAAGCTAACCAGCTCCAGCTTCATATTTATCTAACTCTTGGCAATAAAGCTAATGAGCATATTTGGAAAAAAACTACCCATTGAGTATCAAATGTTTGGTGGAATATTACATAACATAAGATTCAGGAGATTTTTCTTTGGTCTCTGGATTCAAAAGAAGAAACAGCAGATCCATCCATTTCTTGTTTGTATCCCCTTATCTCATTTAGGATTAACACTCAAAATGTTTGCAGAAATAGAACCAGCGCAGAACCAACTGAAGTGGAGATAATAGCAGAGGCTCAGCAACACCCCAACGACATGACCCTTCAAAAAATTAATTTTCCAGTCATAAAAGAAAGATGTGACGCCTCCATAGAAACAGAAGGCACCATGCGTCAACTCCATCAAATCTAAGGTCTGAATAGACTTGTCATGAGAAAGAGAAGGCAGGCGGAGATGGAGGGGGACCGAGTATCTCAGCACAGCAGTGCCCTGTTTTCCTCTCTTAGACTTTCATGTGCAGCTAACAGGTGGTCCTTTGAGGAGACACAGGATGGGGATGATAATGGAGCACTCTGGGTGGC